AGGGCTCCCGCCGGCGGCCGGTCCCTCGGGCCACTCTCCCTGGCGCGGCCCAAACCGCAGGCCCCCCGGGAGGAAGGGGTCGCCACGGACACGGCATTGGCGTGACCGGGTGAGCCACAGGGGCTGCTCTGGTCAGCGGGGGAGCCGGGGACGCTCCTGCCAGCCGGGTGCCCGGATGCCCACTCAGGGGCCTCTGGGGGGCCTGCTGCCGAAGCTCCTGCACCCAGACTGACACAGTGAGAAGTTGTGGGTCCTGGCTGCGTACTCTGCCCCCCTCCCAAGAAGGAGGGTTAGCGGTGCCCCCCAGGGATGCCTTCGTGTACGTGCTCTGATTTTATGAAGGCTCATCGTGGTAACATATTTAACTGGCTGCTTACTGGGGCCCCGTGGGCTGTGTAAGGACTCCTGCCAGAGCGGATTTCAGCAAAGCTCAGGCATTTAGGTTGAAAGTGTCTGTCATTTCTTTTTTTTTTTTTAAGTTTATTTATTTTTGGGACAGAGAGAGACAGAGCATGAACAGAGGAGGGTCAGAGAGAGAAGGAGACACAGAATCTGAAACAGGCTCCAGGCTCCAAGCTGTCGGCACAGAGCCCGACGCGGGGCTCGAACTCACGGACCGCGAGATCATGACCTGAGCCAAAGTCGGCTGCTTAACCGACTGAGCCACTCAGGCGCCCCGAAAGTGTCTGTCATTTCTAACATCTGTCTTAAATTAGGACATTGTCTTTTCTGATTTGACTGCTGTTTCCCATTCCATTCGACTGTCATGATGCTGGTTTGTTCGTTTGTCCGTTCATTCATTCACTCGCTCATTCATTCAGCAGCAGTCACTGGAAGAGGGTCTGCCTCTGGTTGGAGGGGTGGACGGTGTCACAGAAGGGAGGCAGGCTGAGAGGGGGCAGGCGTTTGCTGGGTCATGGCAATCAGGGAGGGCTGCTTGTACAGGACCCATGTGCACAGGGTGATGTGCCTGCCTTTGCAACGCAGACTCTGGGGAACTGCAGTTAACATGGGACTGCCGCCCACTCTGCAGGGCCACTTGGTGGCCTTGATTTGAGAGCGCTGTCATACTATGCAGGTCACTGGAGGCCAGGTTCCGGGGCCGCAGGCCCCTGGCATTCCCAGCCCCCATGAGTCAGCCGCGGGAAGGATGTGGCCACCACAGCCAAGCACCTGGAGGCCGTGACTTTCTCCGCTTTGAGGCTGGTGGCTCGGCACTGGCCATGGGAGCTCTCCTCGTCCCCCTGCCGTCTGACCCTGACTTTGGTGACGGGTCCCTGAGTCTTCCCGTCTGGGGCATCTCGGGGCCCCTAGGCCCCCTGAACCCCAGCACAGCCCTCTGCTGAGCGTGGCATCTGTGCGGGGCATGCATGGTGGCATCAGCCTGGCCTGGCTTAGTTCTCCAGGGGCCCCTGGAGGCGTCCACGTGTGGGTCTCTGACTGGGCACCGTTCAGTTCTGTTTGAGTCAGTGCTCTGGCTCCAGTGTGGGGGTACATTCAGTCTTCCTCAGGGTGGGGAGGGCCCCCACAGAGGCCCTCTGGGTGATGGCCTCGCCATTTAACGCCTGCTGGGAAGTCTGACTTCTCTCACCAGTGAGTCCTGGGGGCTTCATGCACCCCGATTCCAGCCAGAGCCGGGGCCAGTGCTCCACGACCATCTGCTTGCTCAGCTGACCGTTGAAAGGTGCTTGGCATCCGGCTGGTCGGCCCTTGGGAGTGCAGGTGGGAGCCTGGCGGGCTGCGGTGGTCCATGAGACCCACAGCACATGCTGCCTGCTCACCGGCAGGTGAAGGGCAGGTGAAGGGCAGCTGGTGCTTGTCTGCGACCTCTTCTCTCCCGTGCTGCTTGCTCAGCCAGCTCTGGTGGGGGAGGGGGCTTGCTGGGGCCCAGAACACAGGGAAGTCCCATCAATATTCATCTGCAGTGTGCGGACTTCTCTTAAATGAAGCTGTGTTGCAGGCCCTACCCCTGGGGTGTGTAGTATCTTGAACCTTTCTGCCCCATAATGGCGTCTGTTACATAAAGTCTCCAGGCAGATGCTAGGTGCAGAGTAGATGCTCAAAAACCAGGAGCCTCAGGGCACCTGCAGGGGGCTCAGTCGGGGCACCTGGGGGGCTCAGCTGGTTGAGGGTCCGACTTGGGCTCAGGTCATGATCTCACGGTTTGTGAGTTCAGGCCCCACGTCAGGCTCTGTGCTGACCCCTCGGACCCTGGAGCCTGCTTCGGATTCTGAGTCTCCCTCTCTCTCTGCCCCTCCCCTGCTTATATTCTGTTTCCCTCTCAAAAATCAATAAATGTTAAAAATATTTTTAAAAATACTTAAAAAAAACCCAATAGCCTCCTTTCGTCCTCTTACAAGAGTGATACTGTGAGAAGCACATGGGCTGTGTTGGCGAGTCCCGCTCTCCATGGGCTGCCCGTGGGGGGCCGTGGGGGTGAGTCAGCAGGGGGCTGAGAGCCGGTGCGGTGGAGAAGGCCCAGGACCCCATTGGTGGCTCTGCCTTGCTGGCTCTGACTGTAGAAGGAGGGCGAGTCATTGGTTTTCATCGAAATGACCTTCTAGCTCATGAAAATTATGGACCGGGGCACATGTGAGTGTGCAGTTTGTGTGTGTTCTCTTGCTTCAGAAACCATAAAGGATTAAAAACCATAGCTCCGAAGGATGAAGTAAATCCCGGATTGTTGCGATGGCCGAGTTGCCTCCCCCCCCATTCATATGTTCAAGTCCTAACCCCCAATCTTTAAAGACATAATTAAGGGAACATGAAATTGTCATGGGTGGGTCTGACCAGTGTCCTTGTAAGAAGAGAAGAGGGACGACCGTGTCAGGACACGGGGAGAGGACAGCCGTCTGCACGCCCAGGAGTGAGGCCTCAGAAGCCAACCTGCCCGCGCGTGGATCTCAGACTCCCAGCCTCCAGGACCGAGAGGAGCAAATGTCTGTTGTCTGGGCCGCCGGCTGCAGGGCTGTGTTATGGTGGCCCCAGGACAATAGTACAGTTGGGTTTGGATTTCGTGGTGCAAACGGGCTTGAAGTTGCTCTGGGCTGGATTCTGCCATCGACCTGTTTTCCCTAAGTCACACCGTAACGTTTGGGCGTCAAGGGAGTATAATTTTAGATGCTTCGGTGAAGAAAATTAAATGGCAAAATGTGCTAACAGACCTAGTACCCAAGTGTGGCTGGTTAACGGGTCATGGTGGGAGTGCATGAGCCTTGCCGTAGCTCTGTGGTGTGACGGTTTGAGGTCTCCCCCGTGTGCATGACCTGGCGAGGGGCACCCCCGAACCTCCCCGTGCCGGAAGGTGCTGGTGCCCACCGTGGCAGAGGTGGGTTCTCGGGGAGAGGGGGGTCCCTGGAGTGCCCTCACTGCAGACCCCAGCCTCCCGCCCACTGTGCGCTGCGCCTGGGTGCACGCGTGGCCAGATGTCTGGACTTGCTGTCACAGGAGCTGTGCCCGGGGAGGACTGGGGCCGGGGGAGTCCCAGCAAGGCTGACCAGCTCCGCGGCAAGGCTGGGGAGCTCCTCACAGCACCCTCCCTTTGAGTGACTGCGTCGTTTCCGTACTGACCGTTGGGCGTTCCTTATATACTCTGGACAGCAGCCTGCATCACGTTATGACGTACAATTATTTTCTCCCCGTCTGTGGCTTGTTCTCTCATTCTCTGCCCAGTTTTGTGAAGGACATAAGTTTTAGATTTTGAGAAAGGTCAGTTACCCACTTTCCCCCTTGTAGGTCGTGCCTTTGACGTGCTCTCTAAGAAGTCTTGGCCTGACCCAGGGTCATCAGATTGCCCCCCGTGTTCTCCTCTAGAAGTTCTGTGGTTTCAGAACTATGATCCATATTGACATAACGTCAGGACACAGTGTGAGGACTACACCGACGTTTTTTATTTATTTTTGCAAATGAATTTTCAGTTGTGCCTGCACATCGTGCTGAAGAGACTGTCCTTTCTCCACTCAACAGACCGCACTTTCTGTACTAAATGACACCTTTATTGACAATCAGTATCCAGATACGTGTGGGCCTAGTTCTGGGCTGTCTGTTCTGTTCCCTTGATCTGCCCGACTTCAGGCCAATTCCACACTGTCCTCATTAGGGCGGCAGATTTATCCTTGGTGTGAAATCACATCGTGTCAGATCTCCAACTTTGTTCTTCTGTTTCGAAGTCGTTGGGGCTGCTCTCAGTCCTTCGCATTTCTGCGTGAAATAGAGCGGCTGCGTATAAAAGCCTACGAAACTGCCCGCTGAGGGGCCGAACGGGACCACGCTGGATCTGCACATCAGTGTTGGGGAAAGCGTGCGGTTTCGCCACCGAGCACGGTGCTGGCTATCGCCGCCTCCCATGGGTACCGCTGGCAGGCGGGACAAGGATCCTGGGATTCCTGGCTCTTCAGTGCCTGGGAGACAGCGTTCTGGTGCCTTCTCACTTGCCCTGTTCCCAGTGAGGAATCCAGAGTCACCCGAGGCTTTGTTCTGTGTGTGTAGTATCTTTTCCTCTTACTACGTGTGAAGTTTTCTCTTTTCACTGGTTTCTATCAGTTTTATCATGCTGTGATTTGGTGCAGCTTTCTTCGTGTTCCCTGTGCTTTGGGTTCATTGAACTTCTTGGACCTTGAGTTTATTGTTGGTCATTAAATTGGACAAAAGTTGGTCGTAATTCCTTCAAAGATTTTTTCTGTCCCCTTCCTTCTTTCAGGTCTTGAGTGATAAGCCCCTTTGACATCTTTTCTTTTTATACTTATTTATTTTTTGAGAGAGAGAGAGAGAGAGCAAGCAAGGGAGGGGCAGAGAGAGGGAGAGAGAGGATCCAAAGCAGACTTCGTGCTGAGAGGGCAGAGCCCTATATGGGGCTCGAAACCACCAGCTGTGAGATCAGGACCTGAGCCAAAGTCGGACGCTTAACCACCTGAGCCCCGCAGGCGCCCTTTTGACATGTTGAAGTCTGACACTCAGCGATGAGTTGTTATGTGTTTTGTTCTCAGACTCACTGGAGAGTTGCTTTGTCTTCAAGTTTGTTGTTCTTTTCTAATGAAATGTCTCATCTGGGCTTAACCTCATCCAGTGGATTTGTTTTCCTCTCAGATAGTGTCGTTTTCCTCCTAGATCGGCGTGGGCCCTTTTTCTTTGTGGTCTCAGCGAACTTTTGGGACACGTGGGAGTCTGTTGTAAGGCTCAGCTCCTCCTCCACCATGTCCCCCGGTGGCCACTGCACCACCTGCATCAGGTCGGCCTGAGTTTTCT